CACACAGATCCGGCAACCTTCCTCTGAGGGTCCCCCTGAAAAAAAAAGCGCACACAGCAGCAGCAGCTACCCCCACCACGACAGAGGAGCAAACTTTGTGAGGCAAGCCCAGGCAGCCTCCAGACCCGAGGCAGCTGAAGCAGGACGAAGAAGTGGAGGAGGAGGAAGCCTCGCCGGGTGCTGAGGCGGGCTGGTACTGGGGTGCCAAAAGAGCCAGAGAACTGCTTCCCTGGAAGAGGCAGTGGCGGCTGCTGCTGCTGTTGGCGGCTTGGAGGCACTGTTCGAGGACAGGCTGGGAGCGAGCTCCACTCTCAGGCATCAGTGGCGCCTCGGGTGCTCGGGGAAAAGGGTCGGCAGCTGGCAGATAGGCGGGCTGGCTGGCAGGCTGCAGTTCTGCATGGAGGGTGCAAGAGGCGCTGTCTTGGTAGAGAGCCGGCGAGGGAGGTGAGGCTTTTTTTGACTCTTGACAGCAGAGGATGTGTGGGTGATTTGGGGGGGGCAGGCAAGGCGGGTGCCACAAACTATCATCCAGCGGTCCACAAATGTTTGAGATACCTGTTGTACAGTTTCTTAAGAATATTTATGACAGGTGATCATAACCTGAACACATAGCTCCAATCCAACTTCTCAAATGCTTTGGAGATGTCAATGGGGACAATACTGAGTAGCCTGTATTTTTTCAGGATGCTATGATTTATCACATTAAATAAATGGCAGATGAGGTCCACGATTTTTCTATTTTTTCTATGAGCAAATTAATTGCTCTGGACATAATGATGTTCTATTGACCATAGCCTATAATATGGATTAGATGGTAATAATGTGTTCCCATTTTTCAAGAAAATCAGACTATATGAATCCAGGTCCTTCAAATCCTTGTCTGGATTGTCAGTGAGAATTATTTTAGTTAGTTGTATTCGCGAAGGCTTTCACGGCCGGGATCTAATGGTTGTTGTGGGTTTTTCGGGTTCTTTTAATTAGGTTGCATGAGGTTAGCACTTTTTTCTTCCCAAGATGGTCTTAAACAAGGATTGGAGGACTGGGGTCAATTGAAGTTCAAATGACTTGCGTAAGTTCCCTTTGTAACCATCTGTTCCAGCCAATTTATTTGTTTTCATGCACTCGATTAGACTATGTAGTTCTTTTGGGGTGATTGGATATTTTAGGAGCAATCTATATTCATCTGAAAATTGGTTACAATATAGATGATCTCAGAAGTTACCTTTCTAAAAGATTGGACTGAGTTTTTAATAATTATATTAATAGTTTTAAGCTCTTTTTCATCTATCAGAGCATGATTTGAGTTTCTAGGTTTTTGTATTATAGGCTGCAAATAAATGGTGCCCGTACTTATGAATTCAGAGTACTTATGATTAGTAAATTGTATGTCTCTCACGATCTTATTAATATTCAGTGTTGCAAAGCCATCACATATCTATTTTATTTCAAAAAGCTGTAACACATATGGATCTCTGGAAAGCTTTAATTGGTTTTCAGGAACCTTAGTTTCACGTAAGAGGAGTAGTCTTGCTGTGTTTAAATTGTTCTTAAGGTGATCTAGCTCACTAGGTATACTGTCACCTAATCACAGCGACCATCCCAAAGGTTTAAACTGAAGTTTCCAGAAATGAGTTATCCTGCTTAAAGTCAGTGATGACTTTGAGTAACTTTTCTCCAGTGTTTGTCTTTGAACTAGCAGATAGTTAAGGGGCCACAGAAATGACTTTGGATCATTACTAGGTAGTTACAGAGTCAAAGAAATTGCTTCATGGTTCTATAGTAAAATTCGAGTTATCACAGCATTTGAAATTAAATTGCTCCATAATTTTGATGCTAGTAAATAATGTTGACGTGGGTATCTACCAGCTCTTTCAAGTAGTAGAGGTAGTCTATGGGTTCATGAAATCTCTGGGAGTTAGTAAGATCCATGTTTTATAAGAACATTTGGTTGGTGTCATGTGCTTCTGCTGCAGTCACGTTTGTTCAATATAGAATTAGAATGCCTTCCCCACTAGAGTTTGCAAGACCTGAGTTGGTCTGTCATGGACAAAATCTTTTGGAGGTCACTAATTCATAGATCAGCTGGCAGGAGAGTTCTGTGGTACCTCAGGCACAGTCCCAGGGTGCCCCCCGCCAAGAAGGGAATAGTAAATCACTTCTCAGTATTCTCTACCTAGATAACCCTTAAAGGGTCCCCATAAGTCAGAATTGACTTGATGCCATATTATTATTAATTCATAGTGTTGCTGTACATGATTTGACAGCAGGTAACAATAACAATCTTAGCAGGAGTTCCCTTTGAGAAAAGTGTTCAGTTTTTCTGAAGGAAAGTTAAACTTCTGTTAACAAGACTCAACATCTACAAGGCAGCTTCCTTATTTTGCCTAATGATAGGGCTGGCCTTGCTGAATGTAATGTGATGGCAATATATGCCCGCTTGATGCTGAAAAACTAGTTTCTGCAGTCTTGTGCAGTGGTCAGGCCCACTTCTACTGACCTGTGATAGGCCTTCAAATGCAGATGTTATATTTAGAGGTTTACATCAGGGATCAGGGAACTTTTTTACCGGTCAGGACCGCTTCTACTGACCTGTGATAGGCCTCCAAATGCAGATGTTATCCACTGGTTTACATCATCCGTCTGCCAGCTTTCCCTTCTTTAATACAGCATTAGTGGAGATGGCCTAAAGAGTTGTTCCTGCTTCTTTAAAGAGTTTTTCAGGCCTTTCAGCTGCTGAGTCAGATGCACCTTTGCATCCAATCTGGCATCATTACAAGGATGTTAGATTCAAAATGCCTCTTAAGTATTGGCAAATTTCAGAATATGTTTGGATTTTGCCCTGCAGAATCCTTTTGACCTTTGAAATAACAAACAGTCTAATTTTGGTGCTTGGTGTTTGAGCAGAGTTTCAAGCTTGATAAAGAAGTTATGGGATCAGCAACAGGTTTAAAGCAGTTCATCTCTTCTACCCACATCTTTCTCTTCAAGCACAGAAATCTTCTTGTCCCTTCATGAAATTAAGTAATCTACAGTATACACAAGACAGAAAGGGCTAGCAAAGATATTGCTGGTGTAAAAACCATTACAGCTTTCCTTCTTTACAAAAAAAAGACAGTATCAGTATTTAAAAATAAAATAATATAAAAAGGGGGAAAAGTGTTGAAAGGGCATTTTCAAGCAAAACACACATTGGCTTAGAACTTAGTATATGGCACTTAGTATATCGCACCTGAGCAAGCCCACTGACTCAGTAGGGATTTAGCAAGTCAGCTCCGCTGTACGTTCCGCTGGTCCAAATGGGCCTCTCTTAGTAGTGACCTAACTTTAATTTAGTAAGTTACAGTTAGAGTAGGCCTGCTTGAATGTATGAAACTTACAGAGGGGGTATCTTGCTAAATCCCCACTGATTCAGTGGGCTTACTCAAGTGCAATGTACTGTTCTAAGCAACAGGATTTCAGTTGTTAAATAAAATGAAATACACTTTAGTAAATTGAAGAGTAAGAATAGAGCAGGCTGTTGCAGTCAAAGTTTACCTCCACTGAGTGATATAACTCTGCTTGTGCAGCTTTTAGAACCCTATCCTGACCATGAAAGAGTATGTAGTATGATATGTTAGTGACAGACAGGAACTGTTATCATGAGGTTCAATGATCAGGTAAGATCAATATAGAATAGGATATTGCCAACTAAAGCTGAACTTCATAAATTGAAAAGTACAGTATGTTGGGTAGAAAATAGATGTTTATGACCTGGGCAGTAATTAATGTGGAGCAACAGGGACTCTGCCCCCATGGTGCCAAATTTAGAGGATGTGTCCCTTCCCTTGACCTCAGAAATTGATATGGGCCTGTTTTTCTAGAAGAAAAACAGGTAGACTGAGCTTTGATATGGACATGGAAAATAGATGATTGTTAGACCAATAAATGAGGCAGCAGACAGCTGTCTATGTGAGGCCTGGTAGATCAGGTTTCTGGACTGAATGTCCAGGGAGGAGGGTAGTCCAGATGAATGGCTGTTTATCTGGGTCATAAGTAGACCAGGCCTCTCTATTGTAGGAAGGTCTATCTGGAATTCAGGTGATCATACGCCTTTCTGGACAAAGGAACAGGTTAACATCCAGATGGAGTACTGGTCTACTTAAATCATGTGTAGACAAGGCCTCCCCCAAAGATGGCATGTCTACTTGAAGCTTGGTAGACCAAGCCTCTGGCAAAGACTGCAGGAAACAGCATCCACTCTACACAGACTGTAGGCAGACAAGACCTCTCTCCTATTAGAGGGCAATTCAGCTTCTGGCTCAGTAGGTCTGGCTCCTGGCTCGGATAAGTAGCAGGAAGATGCGGCATCCAGTTGGGCAACTATTCTTCTTGGATTGTGATCATGCATTCTTTGCTGGAGGATATTTGAATGTGGTAGATCTGGCTTCTGGACTGGGTGAGTGTGCTTAATATAATCATACACGCTAAACCATATTTGTGTGAATACTGTATATTGTTTTTGTAACAGTGTTGATGGTCCCGTCGCAGTGAGATGCCGGCAAGATGTTCAGTGTTGTGATTACTTGTATTGTTTTCACACCATGAATTACAAAGATTTAGGGGTACATTTTGTGCTCTTTGGCCCCAGGAGCCTAAATTGCAAGCTACAGCTCTGGCTACAATTGCCTAATGAGTATTTGGTCTGATCAATAAAGGCGGCTATTGTTTCTTCAGAAGCTGTATCACCTACTTGATGGATACTATTATCCTGTGACATGTCGCCATAGTCAAAATCCTGTTGCATAACTTTGCCCTGGAATAACATGGCTTGGGCAATGGAAACATTTAATTTACACTAATTAAAAGCTTTATCTTCCCGTTTTGAAATGAACTTGAAATGGCCTGAGAATTGCTGTAAGGCTTTACATCCACTTTTCCAAGTTACAGCAACTCATCATTTCATTGCTGAGCTAGGAAAATAGAGCATTACTATCTATAACAGAAGGAACAAATCAAACACGTTTAGCCTATGGAATTTAATTGTCAAGCAAACAAATCATTCTACTAGCAAACAGTGTCACTAAGCTGTAACAGAACATGTTCATCACCTCAGTGACAAATACAGAGCACATGTACAATGACATTCTGGCATAGAGGTGAATACAGCATGGAGTTTTAATTATATTTTACAAGGAGAGAAATAAGACAACTCAAACAAAACTGTTCAAGTAAAAATCTGTGTGCGCACTGTTGCTGAATACTGAAGCTGGTCCACCATTGCTCTAGGCAAAAATTTCATCTAGTATCAGACTTTTTGGGGACACTCAATAATGAGCTTCTCCGCAGAATAGAGTTGGCCAATGGTTACCTAGAAGAAAAGAAAAAAATGATGATAATTCTAGTTATCTTACAGTGAACTATTTAAAGTGCATGCCTACAAGCAATTGTGATGGAAACACAAGATGTACTTTGCATGTAGGCTTAGCTTGAATCAGTCCAGGCCAAAAGCCTAATCCACACTTATACCTAGGCTTTTAGTTTGAAAGAGCTGACCTAGACTGCTCATGATAGGACATTTTGGAGGTCACAGGGTGGCCATTCATCAGAGGCAAGTCAATAGGCCATAAGAACAACAATGTGAAAGCAGCCTTCCTGTTCTTTAGTGCTTCCTGTTCTCCTGCACTTTTTGTAAATGAGTTCAGCAGGGAGAGAGAGAGAGAGAGAGAGAGAGAGAAAATGTGTGCTCCTTTTAAGTGTCACAGCTGAGTGAAGATATGAATATGGGTATTTTGTGTTGTAAATGAACAACTGCAACATGTCAGTTCAATAGCAGGAGAATAACAAGTAATTATTGTGTACATGACAATTTACAATGTAATGTTAAACACAAAATAAAAAGCTGTAAAAACATTCCCATAGGGCTTTCTTCAAGGAGAAGTCTATTTCTGCATAATGGCTGATCTAGCACCCAAAATACACTGTAAAAGCATTGGGTTTTGTACTAAACTTATAATCTTCCGGGGAAAAATGATACTTTCGTTAAAGTACAGTTATTTCCTCTGCAAGAAAGCATTTCATTCTCTTAGCATCCAGAAATGCTAGCAGCTACCTCTGAATAACAGTGATTGGGAGAAAAATAATATTCATATGTAACATGCCTATAAAGAAATAATTTAGCTTTATTAACAATAAATTGATTGTCAGTCTTAGTTACCAGTGCTTAAATTAAGTGCTGCTAGTGTCAGGCAGGACTATTACAGCCAGCAATTATTTCTGCAGTGAAACTATTTCCATATTTCACTAATGCAGTGTATTTATGATAAATGTCACAAAATTGATCTCTTATCACTTGTACAATAGATTGTAATTATCTGGAATGAGAGTTCAGTGTCTGCAACGTAATGTTGTTTCTCAATGAGAAAGTAACGTCTGTTAAATTATCCTGTGTCTATTGTATGTCAGTTTTTGCCTCTTTTTTTTCTCCCAGTATCCCTGTCCCCCCCCCCCCCCCCCCCCCGCCTTCCTCTTCTTGC